TTAGTCATGAATCTATAACACTTCATTGGTTGTTGAAAGCCCTTGTAAATCACCTTATGCATCAAAGACCATGAGTTTTCGGTCAAAACCATTTGGACCGAAAACCATATGGACTGAAAACCATATGGACCGAAAACCTACTTGGACCGAAAACTCCAATGAAAGGCCATACTCCCTTTAGATGCAACCCTAATGTACTCCTAGCACTTGAATCAAAGTGTTATACATGTTTTAGGGTGTCTTTACTTAATTAATTAGTTGTTAAGTGACTAATTGGATACATATATGTGTCAACATATGTTAAATAGGATCCGTGTGTGTGCTCAAGTCTTCACTTGACACTTAGCATCCTATACCATCCGTTCATCCAAACCACTCACTACAGGTGAGTTCATACCCTTAATCAACCTTTTAAATGTTTTTAAATGCTTTTATGGGGGGGGGGGGGAATACAAGTTGAATCAAACTAGTTATAATATCAATCACATGTGAATTATGACTTGCAAACGAATGGATTTTCTATACTTTTAACTGCTTTGTCAACAAAACTACTTCAAAATGGTTATCAAACTCTTTTACATGTTAAACTGTTTATAAAACTTATTCTTGATTATCAAATCTTTACTTTCAACTCTTTAAACTTATATATTGCCAAATCATGTCTAATGCATATATAGTTATATAAGTAAGGTTTGAAGGACTTAGGACTGATAACTCACTTTATTTCCTGTTCCTTGTTTGGTTGTGGACTTATAGTACCCTGTTGTTTGTCCGACTGTCGTTTGATCCTTAGTTATATATCATATATATGTGCAGATATAAAGCTTTTACTTCAGTTCCAACCCTTTGGGTAGCAAAGGTGTATATGCCAAGTTACTTATATAACATTACTAGTAAACTATAATAGGTATAGTTTAGGAGTATACTACTCACTATTTCTAATACTATGAAACATACAGAGAGTCAGTTCATACATGAGTCAATACATATTGTAAACAATACATACACTACACTATATAACTGAACGTACTACACACTAGAAAGAGAGAACATACACTAATACATACTATTCACACTACACTAAACACTATACTAAGAAACACTATACTAAACACTATACTAAGGAACACTACATTAGTACAAACAATACATACACACTATAACTTAAATGTGAGGCATTACTTCGGGGCATGGCATCTCTGTCATGGCTCGACTTGTAACCAGAGTCTTCTGAAAGAAGAGCGTGAATTTGTGTATAGATCTATACTGGACTGACCGTCCTACACCTTGTTGCTAGCTACAGTGGGACCTGCAGGTCTTCGGGTGATGAATGTCATACCATTTCGACGTCTTCGAGCGTCGTGTTTCACTAAGGTCGATCAAGTATGGTTATAATTATATCACATTATACCTTAATTAACAATTGGTTTAAGGTAGTTAGTACAACAGTAGTCACTATAGTATAATACTACAGTACTTCGATATTTTCCCATTACATCTACTTTGTGATCTTCTCACATAAACAGTAATACAAGAACTATATTTTATTAAATGATAGTCCCATTTGGGAGAAATACTCACTTTTACAATAAACAAACATGCAGTACCTGATGTCTTGGTAGAAGGCTACTTTTAAATAGAAAATATAGGATTTTCAAGGAGTTACAAACAATTACTACAAACATTTTTACAAACTTACACACTCAAACACTTACAAACTTTTCATGCAATCGATGACACTAAAATACTTATGAACTCACCAGCTTTAATGCTGCTAAACTCTTTCAAAATAACTTGTATTCTCAGGTCATCAGTAGACAGGTACCGAGGCCAGCTTTTGAGAAGATGGAGCACTTTTCAAGACTCATCTTTTATTTTGATTCATATTTTTGGTGTCTTATAAATTGTACAGAACACACTTGTATTAAAATACACTATTAATGTAATGGATGATGTTGTTCGCTTGTTTACTATATTTCTGTGTTGTGATACTGTACATGATGTCCTCCGCCCCATAACGTTTCCACTGTTCCGGTTTTGGGGTGTGACACACTGCCGTCACAAGCTCCTCCGTCCAGCACCAACCTTGCACCATCACTACCATCTTGGTGCCACCGTAAGTCCTCCATCGCTAAGATTATTATTATTATTATTATTATTATTTCCTATGTTGTTCGAACTCACTAGGGAAGCAAGAAAAATTCATGTGTTTTCTTTCTTAAAACCTCATGCACATATGTGAGGTATTTTCGATCAGTAGCCAAAAGAAAGAAACCATTCATTTCTTTTATTAGCCATACATACGAATTGCTTGTTTGATCAGTAAAATCTGAAAATAAAACTCAAACTTCCATTTATTTTATTGAAAACAAACCCTCAAGTTGTGTTTAGTTTACAAAGCAGCTCATTCTTATTTCCTAATTTACAAACAACATTTATATACGTAAATACGAAAGAAACATATATACATATTTTTCTTTTTCCTTTTTTTTTTCCAAACTTCCATTTCAATTAACTACATATAGTCCTTATAGTTATTCAAAATAATTAAAAGCCCCCTTCATGGAATTTCATTGCAAAATAAGTCCAAGATGCAAACTTGGAATTTATATAATTCATTTTAGCCATTAATTTGAAAAAATATTGACAAACATAGCCCCATTTGATTTATTAAATTAGTAAATGGACCCTATACCTTGGTTAATTACCAAACTACCCTCCAAATATTAATTATATTAATATTTCCTTAGGAAACTAAAATTTTCTCGGAGATTCGTATTCACGGAAATACTACTCGACCTTCTTGCATCCATTCCAGAACACTAATCGTCTATTGAACGTTAAGGTGAGTGCATAGTTACTTTCATCTTACACATAGATATGGAGTATTTTATATAAATTACGTGCTATGTGTGCATATTATCTGTATACTTGTTATCTATGCTGGATGAACGATTTTATACATGTTTTAAATGATTTAAACTATATATGTATTTTATATCTACAAAATGTGTTGGGTAAAACATAGGTAGATGTAATAGTTGTTGTGTGACAAAATAAAATAATGAGAGGCCTCGTTATAGATGTTATTGATGATCCAGTCATCTAGCGGAGTATAGATGACGACCACAGACTATTCTAGACAGTCCAGTGGAACGCTAGCAGGCTCGCAACCTGTAGGTGTTTATTTGAACTGTGTGTTTACCAGCAGTACTCCATCCCCCACATGGTTGCCTTATTTGACATGAATTGTTGAGGAACCCCCGAAGCATGTGTTGTCACCCCGATGAAAGTCCTTAGACTAGGTCCCTTGTGTTAGATGTTTTAGGGACGTAAAGTGAGGATAACGGGAACGGCTAATCGGGTTTGTTTGGTTTGATAAAGTTATAAACTTATTTATTGTGGGTTGAAAACCCTATGTGCTCACCAGACTCCCAAGCCTGACCCACTCAGTTTCTTGTATTATAGGTAGTGGCGCATGAGCATAGATGTTTGGATGAGAGATAAGGGATTATAGGCCTGTAAACACAAAATAATGTAGTAAGGCTTATGTTGTACTGTTTATGCTTTTGATTTGTATCGAACATGACATCCCGAGTCTTTTAATGAAATACATTTCTTTGGAAATGCTTTTGATAAATCTTTATCATATTTTGTTTTGGGACAAATTCCGCAACACTTTTATTTAAAATGTTACTCCGATTTTCAAACAAGCATAAACAAAATCGGTCTTTTCTGGCCGTGAAAATGGGGATGTCACACTTATCTTTGATAATGTTGTAGCATTTTCTTTTAATTGTTTTTGAGAAACGCTAAGGCTTCTATGGAATTGGATTTGGTGATTTATAATACATTCTTCCTTGGTTGTATGTTTCTTTTTCTTTTGCTAGTTTCTTGTTGGCTTTCTGATTTATGGTTGTTGTTAAAAAAAAAATACCCAATTTTTGTTGGCTATTTTTCGGTTATGGCAACAAATGCTTATATGTAGGGTATGAAATCTTTATATGTTTTTTATTATCATTTAAACTTTATATTTTTCATCTTCATGTGTTGCCTTCATGATAAATCTATCGACTTTCGTTAGTTTTACTATATAAAAACCATATTTTGTAATATTTACCCTAGAGAATTGACATTCTTTGAAAATGTTTGACCACTTAGCTTTCAGTTTGTTCTAATATTATAAAACACATGAAAAATTCTATTGAAAAACGGTTATTCGAGTTACAATGTTTATCGAGTGTCACTAAATAGCAACTCAATTTAGCAAGTATTTCACCTAGGTTATTCAAACTTTTCTTTAAGACGATGTTTTTTTATGTTTTTCTTAAAACACGAGACAATCAGACAATACATGACATTTTATGTTTTCTTAAATACAAGATAATACATGACAATATAATTGAACGGTGTTTGAAATGTATTCAAAATCAAGACTGTATTTGATGTTTAATGAGACCAAAATTTAATTTTTGATACAACCAAAATGACAACAATGTTAAACGTAGGCTTGCCCTAAATCCCTCATACATACAAAAGATATTATAGTAAATAGCCATAAAAGTTTGTCAGTCTCATTTAGTCATATCCCTTAGTAAAAAGCATGGCCTAAAGATTTTGTTGTTTAACTTTAAATTTTGTTCCAAAATTATAAATATTAAAATCAGGGGCGGAACGCTTTAGAGGCCAGGGGAGGCCATGGCCTCCTGCTTTTAATCTGCTAATATATGTTTATAAACATGTTTATTTCTTTAAACTACCTAGCTATTAAATTAAAAAAAAAAGACGTGTTTAGAGGAACCAAGAAGGAATCAGATCACCACAAAAAATTAACAAAAAATCTATAATTTTCAGAAAAACTGAAATTCCTAACTTTAAGGAAACTGATCTACCAAATATATATTTCACTATATTTAGCTTCCTAATTTAAAGGAAAACTGATCCACGAAGAATATAAATTTAAATTTTCAACCATATAATACCATCGAGGAAGAAAAGAATTAAAAGTTCTCCAAAATTATTCTGAAAACCTTGCCCTTAACCACCATCACCGACACCTGTTTTTTCGTCTTCTTTGCCATTGTGATTTTCTTCTCTAGCCTCATCGTCTTCTTCAGTCCATGAATGCCCCCAGCACTCGGGCTCTTAGTTTCTCCGATCGCCTGAGGTTTCACCTCTGTAAGTCCATTTCACCATTTCAGACTACAAATTTCTTTTTTTTTATATGGTATTATAAATAAGAGTACACAGTAGGTCTCTATGCTTATTGTTCTTCTATTAAAGAGAGTACAATACACTATGTTTCAGACTATAATACTAGCTTTTGACTTTGAAGCCTATATTAAATATTTAATTTCTCATTAAATATTTAAATGGTTATATACCATATTTAGTAGTCATTTATATTAGGAAGTAGTTTTTTTTTGCCTAGATATCTTAATGCATAATTTGTTATTAAGAAATTATTTTTCATTTTTAAGTTTTTGCCTAGATACCTTCCTTAATGCTCCTCTATGCTAGAATTTTAACAGTGATATGTCTTTCATTGTTCGTTTTATTTTTTATTTCTACTTGCTTTCTTGTTTAAGTTGTATAATTAGGGTTTGAGAAGACAAATAGATTTGTTAATAAAATTATACTTTGGATAAGTAAAAAAATAATTATACGTTATTTTCAAAAAAAAAGTACCTAATTGCTCATTGTTAGTTAATTTAAACTTCATAACATTATTTATAATTGCAAGAAAATGATTCATAAACAAAAAGTATAAGGGTTTTTGATATATCAAATTTTAGTTTCGGTTTCGGCCCCCAATGATAGTGCTCGAGTTCCGCCCCTGATTAAAATTGTTTTAAGAATGCTTAATTACCCAAACTTTTGGTCACATACATAAATTCATAAAGTTTAAATCATGCACACTACGCTCTCTCTTTATAATTTTATACTCCCTTTGATTAATACGAGAGTTCAATCAAATCTCAAAATGAGTGTTAAGTGTTAAGCTTTCAATTTATACTTATAAAATAAATTGGATTAATAATAAATATAATCTTCGTAAAATAGATTGGCTAGTTTAGTCGGTGTACGTCTCTCATTTCTAACGTCTTTTTGTAGCGTGGCTCGAGCTTTTTGCTTATCCTTCTTTCTTTCTTTCTGTTTTTTTAATATTTGCTTGCGATTAAAAAAACTTATAAAATAAATAGCATATTTTTTATTAGACTTTCTAATACATTTTCACAAATAAAAAATATAAATTCAGTTATGTAACGGACTATTTCTTTTATCTCTCTAAATAAATATATAAGTGTACCTATATAAGAGATATGCAACACATTTGCAACTACAATCCACCATCATTAAGAACATCCACAAGAGCTTTTTTAATAGTTTTTTTTTTTAAAGTTTCACCGAAAAGCTATTTGCATCTCTACAATAAAAAAAAATTAATTTGCTTGAAAAAAAGCTTTTCCAATAGTGTTTTCAATTTTTAAGACCTGTTTTTGTTTGAAAAAACTCTCAAAAAGATAACAAAAAATGGCATCTAAATTCTAAACATTAGAGTCTAACAGATTTATCATGGGATTTTGTACTTAAAATGATGCATAAAATAAACATCCATAAATCACAAAACCTAATTTAAACACTTTTTTTTAGAAACGGCTGTGATATTAAAAAGGAAACACCTCAAAAGCAAGTAGCTAATAGAGGCCCCAAAACATAGTACAAGAAAAAAATAAAGAAAAACAGTAAATGAAATACAATTACATCAATTGAGTGGTGACTTAATCCAATCCTCCCAACTGCAAAACTCGTCTTTGCCCCTGTTTTTTAGCCACATGAACACCATGGACTTAATGTTCTCAACGGGTTAGAAAATCTCGCTTGAAACAGCCGTTCGTTTCTATTTCTACAAACATAAGTAATAAAAGCACAAACATGCAACCCCGTCTTTTGGAAACATGAATAAAACCATAAGCATATTGTGATATTGAAGAACATTTATCATTAAAAACTAATTAATGACATCTATGTCTCTTTTCCAGTAACAAATTTCTTTATATCACATTTTTTCTGAAAAAAAAAAAGAATGGAATTATTCTGCAGCTGGTTTGTTGGTTCCATTCTTACAAGGTGGAGCTCCTTGGCTTTGACTTTTCAGATCATTACCAGCCACCAAAAAATATGCAGTATGCCTGCAAAACCATCAAAAGTGAGAAGGGCATTTTAGGAAGAAAAAAAAAAGTATACTAAATGGTTATCTAGTGAGCTATTCTTACCTGAAGAAATTTAGCATTCTGGTTTTTGAATCATGATCAATGTCTGTAGTGTTATCTAATGCTTGTTGCATGTGGTGTAGCCACCTCTCTGCCGCCTTATGAGTCACCGGAAATGGGCGGTGCCGCCCTATCAGAGCAGGGTGGCCTGCACACAATCGTTTTTTTGAGTATTCAAGAACAAGAATGAAGATGAAAGTACAAATATATGAAAATATGTTGCTATTTCTTTTATTTAGGTCTTGAAGATATGCTGAAGTATGGTTACCTTTCCTTTGAGAGTACAGAGGAGGTCCTCCCATTCTTTGCACAAAAAACTCGTATTGATTTTGAATGGCATCTTCCTTTTTTGAGTTAGCGAAAATAGACCTAAACCACTCTTCTTCATCATCATAAACCCTAGTCATTGCAGCATTTTAGGAATACAAATCAAATCAATAAATAAGCAACATTACTCTAAATCCTTGAAACCCGCTTAGTTGTAAAATTATATGCATTTTGATACTAATCCAACACCAAGTATCTAAATTTAGTATCTTTCTTAGATAATTATACGTTTTATTCAGAGTTTCTCATAAGCAATTAAGAAGTTTGCATAATTTCGGAGGTGGTAATCAGTAATGATCAGTTTGAGTGCAGAAGTCAAGCACTAATCTCAAACAATCAATATTCAAAAGTGTGGATTTGTATCCATTAATTTTCTCAAACACCCATTATTTGAATCAGCAAGGACCCCAAATAACGCATAAAACGATGATTATAGAAGCACAACTATGAATCTTTACGGATTTTACCGAAACCCATCAAGTAAAACAATAATGATTCTCATACCCCCAAATAACAAAGTGGGGTTTGAAAAAGAATACCTTGTGTAAAAATCGGTGGAGAGATTGATGAAAGTCTGAAGCCCTAGCTTCTCAAAAAGATTAACCTCGTCAATGGAGAAGGCATCTTCCTGGTCAACGCCACTCCACTCTGAAGCTTTCTGTTGCAGACTCTGCATATCGATGCTCTCAAGTCTCAACTCAATGCGTGCAATGAAGAATTGAGGATGTTATGAATGGGAGATTATTGTTCTTATAGGCTCGTGTGCGTCGCGTTGGGGAAACGCGAGATTATGGAGCCGATGCCCCCAACGAACTACACACAGTAAATGGGGTTTTGAAGAATCTGTGGGCTGCTTCTTCTTTATTGGTCAATCATTTATTTATGCGATGAAATTACGTCTTTTTATGAAAATGAAGAATTTTGTATATACCTATGGTATTTGCCCAACATAAACTCTAAATATCATATTTGTCTTTTTTAATGTTTTAAAATATCAGATTTGCTCAAATCTATTTTTTAAACAGTTTTTATTATTCAATAATCATTTTTTATATTTTAAAATCATTAAAAATAAAAAATAAAACCTAATAGACTATAATACCCTTGCCTTTTAAATCACAGGTAAACCTTATTCCTGCGACCTACTACTTTGCTACTTTGACCGGATGATCAATATAGGACCTACGACTTTATTTTTTTCTTTGCCTACTTCTCACCAAATTTGTTTATCTTTCAGTTTTATTATATCTATATATATATATATATATATATATATATATATATATATATATATATATATATGTTTATAGCAGAGACAGGTCAATAATTTCATGTAATTTTCCAATTATCAAAAGTCAAAACCAATACGAACAAGATTGTTAAACAAATTATTCACATCAAAAGTCACAATACATAACAAAAACAAGCCAAAATTGGTCATTTAATGCCTTCTTCATCTAGAGTTACAGTGTCCAATTCTTTACTATCTAAACCGTCAAAAAGAGTATTACAACTTGAAACATATACATGATACACACAACAAAGATTGACGCAAACTGGGTACTACCCAAACAATGAGTTATGATACCACAACAGATTTAAGTTAATGATAGGATCAAATTAGAAAAACAAACAATGGATCACCTTAAATATGTACGATTAAATCATGAAAACTAAAAAATAGAAAGCAAACCGAAAAGGGCTTCTGTTTCTCGACAACATTAAATTCAACCTAATGGGAGGAGGGCGACGTCGCCGGAGATGGAAGACAACGACTTTGAGAGGACGAGGACTATGGCCACGAGCTAATCACGCATTCTCAAAAGATTTTAAGCTATTCATTTGTTGGAATCATAAATTGAACATTCAATTCACAAAGAAAGCCAGAAATTAACCTAATAATCATAGCCGATTGCAATAGGGAAGAGTCGAGAATGCAAAACTGAAGGTCGGCGTGGTGTGATTGTTGATCGACGAGATCTTCTGCTGCGATCGCATAATGTCAGCAGTAATGGGTTTATGCAGATTTAGAGAGTAAGGGTATTCATGTCCATTTAGTTAAGTTTTTTCAATTTTAATAATTTTAAATTGTAAAAAATGATTATTAAATAATAAAAATTATTTAAAATTAGATTTGGATAAATTCGATATTTTAAAATTTTAAGAAGGGCAAATATGATATTTAAGGCTTAGGTCGGGCAAATACGATATTTAAACCTTTAATAATGGTATATACGAAATTCTCCCTTATCAAAATATAATACACTTATAATCGACTATACAAGCATGAAGCATATCTCGATTTGTTTACTATGAATTTAGACAAAAATTCAAAAACCACGAATAGCTTATGAAAATTTCTTAACACACATTTATCCATGTGTTTTTTTGGATGTTTGGTCTTTACGAATAACATCATATCAAACGATCAACCAGGGCCGCCGTATAATTGCATAGTAAGGATGACACGAGAAATTTTAATAGTGGCACGATATTAGAATTAAAAAACTTCGAAACTTTTCGCATTGTGTACAGACAAGTTAGGTGTTGTCGGTGTCACTACGGACATCATAAAAAAATCGTCCTTCTAATCAATTTATCTTTTTTTAGGGATATTTTGTCCTTATAACTACGAATTAAGCTCAGACATGTTTAAAATAAGAAGAACAAGTCCAGAATTACCAAATTACGATGAACGAGTCCATAATATTTCGTATTATGGGCCTCAAATTTTTTTTCTTCAAAATCATAAAATTTGGGATTTGGTACCGTTGGTACCGATACTAGTACCGAAACCGGTACCATTCCCGATACCAGTACCGGTAACGTTAATTCGATACGGTACTCGGGATTAACTTTCGATCTAATTCGGTATTCGAGAAATCGGTAACAGTACTAGTCGGTACCGATTTTGTCAGACACTCATCCCTACAGAGACCTTAATTGGATAATATTTTTTTTAATAGACCAAACTTGGATTGTGTTTTTTGAACAATTTTGAAACATAGTTACCATCACGAGTCATTTTCTCTTTTTTTTTCTTTAATTAATTTTTACCGGTAAATGTTGGTTATCATGAGAGTGACATTTAAAAAAAATATAGAGTTCGTTGTTGTTTTTTATACAATAGGCTTTGGATGATGTTTTTTGAACAATCCAAACTTGGATGATTCTTTTTAATGGATTTTGAAACATGGTTACTCTTATAAATCATTTTTCCTTTTGTTAAATCATAAAAATACATTTAGTTAAATATGAGAATTTTGGGTTATTTTTTAAGAGCCTTGTTAATAATAGTCATCTTTGTTAGATTTAATATAAAAATCAAGGTTTAAATAAATTTACAATCTCTTTATTAATAATTTTAAAGATGTTTTTATAAAAGAAGCTGATTTTTCCAAGGCAATTTTGTATAAATCTACTAGAAATTATATACATTGACGATTACACCTTTGTCTTAATTATACTTATTAAAGAAAATAAATGAACTACCTTTTTGTTTTCAATACATGCGTCCACTCATAACACCCCCTTCCCCCACTCACCCTCTTATTCTCTCTCTTTCACACGCATAGATCTCTTATCCATCATCATACTACAAAAATTATTTCCATCATTTTCTTATTCAACCAAACAACAATAACTAAAAAGACCCTGAAATCCGTTACCTCTCCCTTCACGATTTGAAAATGTTATGGGTTTACTTTAAGCCATGTAAAAGCCAAATGAATTTTTTTGTAAACTCTTCTCTGATCAAACCACCACCGTCATGAAGTATCATCTTCTACAATTTTGGTATCAATGGGAAAGGGAACAAACCTCGAAGAAATGGGGTTAGGGGAGGGAGTCCAGGGAAAAGGGAAAACAGAACAACCCATGACTCCATTACACCATTAAAGGTTGCTTCCGAAGACATACATGCTGGTGTTTTTTTAGTTCTTTATGGGGTTGATTATAATGGAATTGGATGTAAACGTTTAGTCCTTATGTTCGATGAATCCATATGATTTAGTGGAAGTGAAGAAATGGTAGTCAGAAATGTTTAAGTGTAGATGATGATACACACACCTACACTCAGGGGATGAGCTTATTTAGGGCTAGAAGAGGCTGTGACCCCCTTTGTTTTTATTTATTTATTTATTTTTGTTATAAATAATCCATACCTATTAAATTTTATACATATTAGACCTAAAAATATAAAATTTAGGCTTTGACATACCCTGTCATCCCATTTCTATACATATGATACTTCTCATACTCCTCCTCCTCCTCCTCCCCCCCCCCCCCATCTAGAAAAAAAAATCAAAAAATTCAAGCTCCGCCACTACCTACACTCACTAAAAACCTACAATTCCACATACATTTGTAATATGTTTCTTTCAAGACTTCAAGCTCACATATTATAAGCAATGTTCTAAATAACATAAGGCGTGACTCGGCGACAATGTCAAGCCTCAAGTTTTTCCGAGCTTTGGCGAGCTACGTCGTTCGTAAGGCGTGACTTAAGTCGGCAATCTTGTATATAATTAATATTTTTATATGTATTTTCAACTAATATTCTATTTTATACACATATATGAGTTAAGACAGCGTTTTGGTAAAGCTTGGCGGAAGACACGAGCCTTGGAGCCATGGCGGAGCCATAACGCCATAACGAGCTTTTTAGAACATTGATTATAAGTGATGTTGGCTGAGTTTCTTAAAATAAAACTGTTAAGATTGCGTCATTGTGATTTAGAGAAGAGACAAAATAGAAAGGTGAATGGACGTAGGTTTGAGAACAAGAAAAGTTATAATTATAATGAGGGTATAATTGTCGATAAATATAATTATAGTGGATGAATAAAAATGTGTTTGTGGAAGTATCACCCCCTTAGACTACCCCCATTTGGGGGGTTTTTGCGAGCGGCTCGTTGGGACAAAAGTATTAAAAAAATAAAATGAAACAATCCTTTGTGAACTTGCTTGTGTGGGCGCCCTCAACTCGTCCTAAATCGTATTGCAAATTCATGTCACTTGTACAAAATGGTTTTAAGAAACCAATTAATTTTTATGCTAAAAAGTAATTTTTTTATAAGTAATTTTTATCTTTAATATAATATAAAATAAAATATATCAAAATATCTAATTTATTTTTTCTCTATAAAATAAGACCAATATTGATATAGTTTTATAAATATAAAATTTTAATGTAAAATAGGTTGGGTTGGATTGCTAATGAGTGTAAATAATTGGATTGGATTGTATATATAAAAAAAATTAGGGCTCGTTTGATATGGTATCTAACTGGGTCCAAAGAGGACTGGGTCCATAAAATACCAATTGACATGTTTGATATTGATTATAGTTGTAAGGGACTCGGTCTAACATTAGTACTCGGTCCAATAAAAATAGAAGACTCGGTCCTTGCTTTCAACTTGATGGACCGAGATATAAAAAAAAAACTCGTCGATGCCCTACATCCCTCCCTTGTTAACCTCCCAGCGACGAAGCAAGAAGTCCCAATAGCGATCCAAATCTGTCGTGCAACAGCATCAATTAACAGCAACAGGAACGATCAACAACAATAGCAACGATCAACAACAACAACATCAATCAATAGGTTTGTTTTTCTGTTTGTCCTTATTTTTTCTGCATGATCAACAACAACAACAACATCAACTAATTGGCACGTTTTTCTGTTATTGATTCTTAAAATTTCCATATTTTCATGTTCTTGATTTTTCACCTCCATGATTTATTGTTTGTCATTGTTTTTCATGTTCGTGATTATTAGCATTCTCATGTGAGCATGCATCTTATTTGTTGATTCTTGAAAACAAGAAGTGAAAATTATATAATGTTGAAAACTGAACATGAAAAAACAA